GTTCCGTTGATTAATACCTAGTGACATCAACCATATTGGTTTATTATTGTGATTGTTACCATATAGAAATTATATGGTTTATAATCAAGTTGATGCCATATGAAGTGATATTCTGATCGTTGTTATCACGATAAACCTTTCTAGTGTCCTTTTATTCTTTTAATTGTATTAATTCATGAAATACTGTATGAAGCTATATTATACTTATTGCATTTTAATCGCCTTTCTGAGAATTCGTATTATGTGAATACACTCATGGAAAAAACTTAGGAAAGTTCCATATTTTCATATCGCTGGTATTCCGGTAGTCTATTATTATATATATATATATATATATATTTTTTATTTTTTGGAGGAGACACTTGGTTATCTTGTGTGTCTTCATTAAAGCCACCGTGTATCAAATAACTTTCAGTGTTATTGTCTGAATTCCAATATACATGCTAAATGATACATCTTCTTCAAGTTTTTTCCATTGGTAAATATACTTGTGTATCTTTTTTCATATAACCAAAAAAAAATCCGAATTTAACAAAATGCCACTCATAGATTTCAAGATTTTTCGGGAGATAAAAAAAGATAAAGAGCCTCAGTACTAATAAAGTAGTTTAAAAGTTAAAAAAATGCTTTCTACATAAGTATATGTGTGATAAAAAATTATCACACATATCATACTTATCATAGCCTGTATAAAGCTTTGTCAAATGTTTTAATTTTTGTTCGTTCTTGACGAAGACAAAATATTTTTGCCGAAACATCGAGACAATAAAAAAGATTTACTGGCCGAAGTATCTTTTAATTTGAAGATTTACAAAGCCTATTTTTGGATAAGTAAAAAATAAATAAGTTTAAAAGATAACTAAAATAAAGAAGGCCTTGGAAACTTTCGATTAATCTTTAACCGAATTCTATTTTTTCCATTTTCAAATTATTTCTAGGTACCTATTGCTCACTTAAAGAAGGTCTATTAAATATAAAGTCTGGAAACAACTATAAGTAGAATCTATCAAGTAAAATATAGAGCTTAATATACATTAAATTTCAAAATGTTAGAATTTCATTTCAAATTTTCTTTCACACAAGAAAAGCTACACGTAATTATTAAGTTTAAAAAACGTAAAGTTTGAATCTACTTTCATCTTCCAGTATCTTACTACACTCTTTTATACCTATACCTTTAAAAAACCTCCAAACATCATTTTAAAAAGAAAATGTTAAAGGATAGTGTAAAGCTATGTCAATTAAATTTCCTCTGAAAGGTTTTTGGGAAGTTTATTTTTAAAAATTCCTATTAACATCGTGTAATTAGAGCTTTAGCAAAAATGTAATAGGTTAAACTATGATAATTAGTAAGATACGGGAGATTTTCAACACTTAATTAGTAATAGTTTTAATTAGACAATTTTTTTATACAGTATCATAATAAATATAGCCAATCTCACTTTATATCCTTAATAATGCTAAATAATATTTCTATTTAGTGATTCTATTATAATGCTTGTTGCTGATGTTGTATATAGTCACAGTGTAGAAAATACTATACTATACCTACTACTTACAGGTTTCTCTCTGTATTCTTAGTTCTCTTCTCTTACTCTGTAAACTGGCGAATCCTTTATAGGACGAGAGGTCCTCAATAAAGGCTTTTGTTGTTGTTGATTCTATTATAATAATAAAAATGTATTTTACAAAGAATATTTATATTTAACAAGCTTAATATATTTTGTATTCCTCAGGTTAATATATGGTTTTATTTCAGCCATGTTTATTGGTTAGGGTACTGATAGAATCATTTATATAATTTTTTATGAAAATATAATTTTTAAAATATAAACTCATAGATAAAATTCAAGGAAGTTGTTTCATCTAACATGCATATCGAGATTCAGAAAAAAACACTGAAAGATATTTGATACACAGTGAACTTTATTGAAGACAACAAAAGATAACCAAATGTGAAAAAAATTGCCTCTGTCTCTTTCAAGATAAAAAAATAGACAACCAGCGACATCGAATATTTTCTATTTCCTTAGGTTTAATCTATGAGTGTAATATACAGTTAAACCTTCACGAAGAACCAATCTGATGGGACACAATCTTTGTAAAATGAGAATTGACTTGACAACTCCTTACCTCATAACCCCAATAAGAGAATACCACCAAAAACACTGTATTTACCGTCATTGTAACTTCACTACATCTAATCTTAAAAATTGCTACAACATTAAAAAAAAAACACTTTTTAAATAATATTACAAATTAATTCTACACACAATATACTGCAATATAGATATATGTTTAATTACACTCATTTACAACACTTAAAGAAGTTGCACCTAAAAGGCATGTACATCTAGATTCAGAGAATAACTCTGAAAGATACTACAGTAAACTTTATTGAAGACACACGAGATAACCAAATGTGAACAAAATTGCCTCTGTCTCCTTAAAATATTCAAAGTGATATCAAAGCCTTTCCATTTACACAGATTATCTCCATGAGTTAATATAAAAGTAGAGTTGAAAATAAAATAGAAATTTGGTATTATTTCCGTCTATGATGCGATATATCCATAGATATTCCACTGTACCATATTAAATTGCAATAAAAGGTGGTGTGAGCGCAATCTCAATACGCCGTGATTGAGTTTAAAAACAAAATTGTATTTCTCCGAAGAGATTATAATTGAGCCTTTTACCCTATTATATATATTGCAATAAAATAAGAAAATAGTTCTCTCATTTATGTTTTAAGTCATATACTTTAAAAGATATATTCAAACGGTTTTTTATGCCTAAACATAATTGAATTTACACTATTTAATTATTTCATTCTGAAAATAAAAAGTATTTTGTGAAAAAGCAATTATAAAAAGTAATTATAATTTAGAATACTAACTTCTATTTTCTTCTTCTCTGTATAAATTGAATGTTAGTATTTAATTTCTAATGATTATAATTCCTTTATAGAATTCATAGCTTTTATCTGCAAATAGAAATATCTTTGATTCAAATTTCATTGAGGTATTTAAAATATGCAACTTATAAAAAAATGCTACTTAAAAGCATATCTGTGTTAATTAAATTTCAAACGATAAGAAAAGTGTACAATATTTCGCTATATAGAGTGAACAATAACTCTAAATGAAGTACATTATAATGTTTTTGGTCGAGATACTAAAATTTCGACTAAATTAAACTCTTCGAATTAAAATAGCAAAATAAAACGGCGATTCTAGAGGAGTGTCTTATACATATATATATTGTCATAACCAAAAATGTACATAGCATGTAACTGTAAATAATACATCGGCAGCTTGGCGAATGTTATGTACCTAAGCCCCGATAGGTGGCGCGCGCTGTCAGCTCGGCAAGTGTTATGTACCTAAGCTCCGATAGATGGCGGGCGCGCTAGGCGGGAAGTTTGTAAACAATAGTCGCCATCTTGAGGAGTGTAGCCGATCGCCAGCCGTTTGGGTCTCTGAGATCACTTCCTTAATTTACCATTATTTTTATTCATTTAACTTAGTTTACCTCTATTTCTTTTATCCCTCAAACTAATTAACTTTTTAAAGTCATCAAATAAATTATTATTTTATGCTACCCAAACGACTAATCACCTTCATTACTGTGACAATATATATAAGTATACATTGTATATTTCATGTATAAAATACTCCTCTTCAATCGACGTTTTATTTTGTTATACTAAAATTTCGGTATACGGACTTGTTAATATTGAATTTCATTGAATCAAGGCTCAGCTAAAATTGAAAAGCATACAATGTCCTTCGCAATTTATATTGTTGCACCAGGCTGCGGTTTGGCAGATTCTTCAGTCTTGATTATCTACTCAGACGCGTCTTACATCTTTCCAGAACGTGTCTCTACCATCCTACAAGGTTAAACCAGTCAATAATAAGACAACTATATTTTTAGGTAGCACCTAGAATATATATTTATTTATAAATGATGCAATAGCGCGCCATCTATTAAAAAGCGATTGCTCGAAGCATTTTATATATTTATAATTGTATGTAATTCTACTGTCCTCAAAGCTTAAGTCCATAGTTCTTCTAAAATACCCATTCCAAGAGTCTAACAACAGTATCCCTATAAAAGGAAGTTCCAAAAATACAATATAACAGCGGTATGGTAGATTAAACTGGCGAAACCGCTAGGAGGGTTAACCACTGATGAGCCAGGCCCTCCCTTTAATTTTTCCATTGCAGTAAGGACAGTAGAAAATGTTTTATTTCTTCATTTATCACATTAAAGTTTGAAGCAGGTTAGGTATTCAGTGTATCAAAATAAAAATGATTTTATAGTACATAATATTTCATAATAATATTATGTTTTATAAAAATAAATATAAAATTTGAAAATATGAAAAATAATATTATAAATAATTTTTAAAATAGGCGAATTAATGATGATGCAACAATATATATATATATATATATATTATGATTAGAATTTTTTTTTGTGTGTTTGATTGTTGAAAGGAGGTGCAGTCGTGGAAAAGTAAAGAGAATTATTTACCTTTCAAGCAGATTTTTATTTTGAATATCTTGAAGTAAAAATATACATAAAATTATTTTTATCACAGGAATATAGAATTTATTAAATGAATTCTATAATCGTGAATAAAAGATAGGTAGGGTTAAATATACATTATTTACAACAATAATAATTAAAAGTCGTATGTTTTGCCTCTATCGTCAAATATATATAATAGTCAATGAATGAAAATAAAATATGTTTTTAAAAAATAAAATAATTGTATTTTAGATTATATAATATATATATATATATATATATATATATATATATATATATATATTTCTATTCCAATATTCATTAGAATCCGTCCAGCATTTTCGAGAGAAAGGGAAAGTTATATTATTTTTATAAATAAATAAGTCCGCCGTCTATATATAAGAAATGAAAGCACGAATGTTTATATATATATATATAATATTTACGAACGGAAAAATATGTCCAGGGTAGCCTAGTGGGTAACCATCTGCCCGGTAAGCGGAAGGTCGTGGGTTCGATTCCCGCCCCTGGACACTTTTATTTTTCCGTTAGCCATTACTCTTCATATTTTCACCCTTTCATACTTCATCCTTAAATATAGAAATAGTCGTTATTTCTCTTTAAAATAAATTTCGATTTTTGTTTAAAAGAAACATTCGCGGTATAATTGCAATTTTCGTTTTATATATATATATATATATATATATATTATATGAAGCGAACTATTATTGTCCTTACTGCGATGAAAACATATTAGGGAACTTGTCTCATCAGTGGTGAACCCTCCCAGCAGTTTCGCTAATTTAATCTACCAGACCGCTTCTTAGAACTCTAATACTGTATTGGATCATTCTCTGTAATTATACAAGTATATACAGTTATATAAAATACAAGTATATATATACATTTATACAAGTTCGAAACTATTTTAAAGGCGTAAGATTCTTTTTAAAATTAAACAATTTCTACTGTCCTTACTGCAATGGAAATATTAAAGGGAGGGCCTGGCTCATCAGTGGTGAACCCTCCCAGCGGTTTCGCCAGTTTAATCTACCACTGAGCCAGGCCCTCCCTTTAATTTTTCCATTGCAGTAAGGGCAATAGAAATTGTTTAATTTCGAAAAGAATCTTACGCCTTTAAAATAGTTTCGAATTTTGATAACAGATGGCGCGCTAGTGCATCATTTATACAAGTATAAAAGCTTGTATATGCTACACTGAAGGGTGAATTCTAAGAAATGGTATTTAAGCAAACTATGGACATAAGCTTTTAGGATAGTAGAATGACATATTTATATATTTGCATCGAGCAATGCTCTTCCGCAAACAATGAGGACAAGACCAGTTAGGCATTAATTAAAACTGAGCATTAACGTGCTATTTATATATACTAGGTTCATTAAATTGGATAAACCGCTGGAACAGGGTTCACGACTCATGAGCAAACCCTCCCAATATTTTTCATCGCAGTAAGGACAGTGAAAGTTTGTTATTTTTATGTGTAAAAGAAACATTCGTGCTATAATGCTTTCATTTCCTATTATTATTAATAATTATGGGGGGTCTGTGGAAAGATGGTCTAAACCGTTGGATAACGACCGCTACGACCCGGGTTCGATTCACTCATTGGGCACTTTTTTCTGATAAAAAAAATGCTCCAATGGCCGCTGATTCTTGCAAAAGTCCAAACACACCAGTGAGTGCAAGTAACCAAACGAGGTTCTGGCACATTTGTAAGTGCAAAGTTGAACTGCTTTTCACATGTGTAGACATGTGGTGCACTTACAGTAAAAGCAGTCGCCTACCTCTACCCACCATGATTATCATGGCCTGTACCACGTGTACTAGGGATAAGCAAAAAAAAAAATAATAATCATTTATCGTTTTAAGGAATTCAGCATAAAGCTCTCTCTCTCTCTTTCAACAAAATTATTTATTTTAAAAAGTTTTGAATTAAGTAGAACTTGTATTCGAGAATGTTTTACAAATAAAGATACTCTACTGAAGTTGGTTATTCATTTGAGCGTGGATCATATCAATACAAGTTATCTTTTTTTTTACAAACGGATTGTCGAAGAGGAGGTCCTTGAATGGAGTGTAGATCATATCAGGACAAGTGACTCTTGTACAAATGGTTGGTCAAAGTAGTGGTCCTTAATTGGAGTGCAGATTATATCAGGACAAGTGACTCTTGTACAAATGGTTCGTCAAGGAGGTGTTTCGTTCAATAGAAGGGTAACTAATGGATTATTATACTGTAGAAATCTTTCAAAATTGAATAACGATGTTTACTTTAGATGATGGCAATATAATGCTATACACGAAAAATAGTTCAATCATTCTTATTTGAGCATGAAAACTGTGTGCATGAAATTAATTACTAACAAAAATTAAAGAAATTGTTATATGCAGATTTATTTCTAATAAAACGTTAGCAATTCCACACCTTCCTTTGTAACAATACAACAATATAAATATATTCAAATTACCGGTTTGGTGGCGACTTTTATGAGCTTCAAGAATTTGAGTTCAGGACAGTTAAAAGTTAGTAAATTTATTAGGAACTATTGAATTTGTGTGTGAAAAATTAAATATATATATATATATTATATTAAAATACTATTTTATTTAAAATTATATTTCATAGATTCAAATACTCTGTTAAATCGACCGCCAGAGGTCACGCTTACCCTATAAAAACTCATTGTTGTCGTTTCCCAATGGCCGGCTCAAACCTTTTGTACATAATGTAAATAAGATTTTCATTTTTTGATTCTTACTTACGCCTTAAGCCTAGCAGTACTTTTATCAAATTATGTTCTTTTATATTATTTTAGTTAAATTAAATCAATTATTGATCAAAACTATTTTATTAATTCCACGGCTGCAAAACAATATCATAATGATACTCATGTATCCAAAAAATAATTAGAAAATAATATTCCGAAGTCAACAGCAGAAATCTCATTATTTTTATAACATATTGTTGCACCAGGTCGCGGTTTGGCAGACTCTTCAGCCTCGATTCTCTCCTTTATCGTGACTTGTCTTTCCAGAGCGTGTTTCAACCATCTTACAAATTTATATAAGGGAATAATAAGATAACTCTACTTTAAGTAGCCTCCAGAATGATTTATTTATTTCTCACATCAAAGTTAAGAGAGCTGTGAAGTCACAAAGTGTACCAAAATACAAATGGTGATTTTATAGTACATAATCTGTTTATAATATATATTTTATTCAATAAAATAAATAAATAATAAAATATCAATTTGAATATTTAAAGTATATAAAAATAATATTACTAAATAAAATAGACGCATTAGCCATGATGCAACAATTATTATGAAAAAATAACCAATTTAAAAATTATATTTGGAATATATAATACCATCAAATAGGTTTACAGTAAAAAGTGATGGCACAATACTTTAGCTAACGAAACAAAGCACAATAAGCTACTCCATGTTTTATATACATTTTATTGGGAGAAACTGTAAAAGAAATTTAAGAAAGGAGAAAAAATCCCAACTTTTATTCTAAGAATTTAATTTCGAAAATTGTTCTAGAAACTTTCTCATCTTTAGTTCGAGCTTCCTATTAAAACTGAGAAAGAAGTTTTGGGCCATTTGTAATGTTTTCTTTTAATATCCTTGGTTAATTCGCTACAATGGTCTTAATAAATTTGTGTTGATAATACAATTATTATATTATTTATTATAAAGGCGAAACTCCCGTGAGAGACTTGGACAGATAAGGGAATATCTTTGGAGAGGGTTTGCCATTGCAGAATAAAATAGATCAAACGTTTTATATTTTAGCACTATATATATTATATATAATTAGACATATAATATATATATATATAAAGGTATCATAAATTTTTAAAGGAAAGTTATAGAAAATTTCGTTGTCGAATTAAGAGTATAATGTCAGTATAGCAAGCTATTACTGAACTAATAAATATAATTAAATATAATTTATATGAAAGATAGTTGTAAATTAATGTTGATTAAAAACAAATTATAAAATATTATTATTTGGGTATCGAAGAGGTTTTAGATTTTTATGTAACAATATAGGATTATAAAACAAGTTCACGTGTTATAACCCTATATTGTTACATGAAAAAATTAAAACCTCTTTGTTACCCAAATAATAATATTTTGTTTTTAATCAACATTAATTTACAACTATCTTTCATATAAATTACATTTAATTCTACTATAAATTTATTTGCAAATGAATAAAAAATAGAGAAATGGTCATGTGAGTTCGGTCAGGATATGCCTTTTTTATTATATATATAAAATAAAGTTGCAGGAGGATGATATTTATGTATTTAAATAGGCACCTCTCCCTTCAATTATGCATCAGAGAGAGAAGGATACATTGTTTTTATCACCCTAGTGTAAATATTTACTAGTGATGATTAATAATGAACCGAAAATATACGATCGGCGATATCAAAGACGCTTCACTCTTTTAAGTTTAACCATGAGTATATAGAGATTATATCATAGTTAAAATTCTTATAGATATTAGGAATATCACCTTTATATTAAAAATCGTATTTGAAAAAGCTAAGATAATCTTGAATTATTTTCAAAAACTGGAGGGGACACGATGAGAACTGTGTGCTATCTACAATATATATATATATATATATATTAGATAATAAAAGGCATATGTTGGATTTAATAAAATATTTATTTTGCCAATATTTCGGCTGGCTGAACGCCAATCTTTATCGAGGCATTACATTTTTGTATACACAAACTCAGCGCCGCATAGTGTTATAATATCACAGTTGAAGTTCAGCCAGCCGAAATATTAATTCAACTGTGATATTATAACACTATGCGGCGCTGAGTTTGTGTATACAAAAATGTAATGCCTCGATAAAGGTTGGCGTTCAGCCAGCCGAAATATTGGCAAAATAAATATTTTATTAAATCCAACATTTTCTTAATTTATGCACCTTATCCCAGTACAATGTTACATTTGTACTATTTTTTCACATTGTGTAGCGTCCTCAAGCAATTCTGGCCTTAAATACCCGTTTCATGATTTTTCAGGATGCCTTAATGACCAATTTTTTGGTCGTTGAGGTACAGCTTGCACCACGCTGATGAGGGCCAACAGCCCGAAACGCGTCCGTGGTTAGCTTTTCTTGAATAATCAAGAATGGGTATTTGGCCAATTCTGGAATAATTAAAAATCAACGAGAATAGTTGATATTTATTCCGATAGATGGCGCCAGCCATCAGCAACTTTCAGTTGCACGATAAGGAGATGCCTTTTTCTTAATTTATGCACCTTATCCCAGTACAATGTTACATTTGTACTATTTTTTCACATTGTGTAGCGTCCTCAAGCAATTCTGGCCTTAAATACCCGTTTCATGATTTTTCATGATGCCTTAATGACCAATTTTTTGGTCGTTGAGGTACAGCTTGCACCACGCTGATGAGGGCCAACAGCCCGAAACGCGTCCGTGGTTAGCTTTTCTTGAATAATCAAGAATGGGTAT